CAGATAGGTAAATTAAAAAGTATGGTTAAGTAGCAAAGTCCAAGCAACTGCGTGCAGTTCTGTCAACACAAAAGAAATACTATTAGTAACAGTAACAGGCAAAATGAAGAAGAGCACCAGACGGGTAAGCTAAACCATGGGAATTTGCACTTGAGGATCAGAATTAAAATCAGTGCCTATGCCAAGAAACTAAGGAGCAGAAAATGCAGTACCTTTCCTTCAAAAAATCGCACCAAGAAGAATTCTAGGTTTAATTTCAATGGCAGGTAGACAGATGGAACAGTTGGAAATAAAATGACAGAATCTCCTGAGGAACGCTACATGATACGGACAAGCCTGAGTTCCATTCCTCTCTGTTCTCTGAACAACGAACCAGCGGGCAAGGAGAAATGCTCCAAAAATATCATGTATTTGGATTATCAATAAGTCATTTCCCAGGTCCATCTCATGGAAACTTTTAAAACTTCAAATCATAGGTAAAGTTCTTTCACAGGTTAAAAGCAGTTAAGAGGCACAAAACAAAGACCAAAATAAATGATCACTGCTCAAGCAACAGTAACTTTGGGATATTGTTGACATTAACATTTCTAAATTGTACATTAGTGATCTGGAAAAAAAGGGTATGTATAGAAGGAATACATTTTGCAGGTAAGAAAACTTTTTTGTTAGTTAATACTTGACAACACTATGAAGAACTTTGGAGAGTGGGTGAAAATTTCATTGATTAAAAAATGTAGTAGAAGATAATATTCAGCATTGACCAATGATGACTCCATAAGCTTGTATTATATACTGGGACGTTTAGTACCACTTTACTGGAGGAAATGGGGGTAACATGGTGAGGAGACACAAGCAGAAATGTACAAAATGAGGGTAAAAGGCAGCAGCAGAAGTATCGGCAGTGGCGAGAAGGCAGAACACATATCGAAGTATAGGGAGCAGCAAACCAGTAGGACTGGCACAAGGAAGCAAGAGGGCTCTGAAAAGTGATGAGAAGAAGTAATGGGAGAAGAAAAGAAAGCAGCCAGGAGATGGGGGTGGGATGCAGGATATTAGAAAGAACAAAAAAGAAAAGGTGGCAGCAATGAGCCTTCCTCTTTTCAAAGTGGTACCAACTTTCTGAAGTTTCTTCCAGGCCATTTCATGATTCTTTGTCTTCTCTCCTCCAATTACCTTTGGTTGGGGCCATGCCTATTCACTCATTCTTTCTCTTCTTGGTGAAAGTATCCCTGATTAATAATCCAACAGTCCTCAGCTCTTGCTGATTCTCCTTTTCAGTTCAGAAGTCTGAACCATTCACATGCCGACACATCCTCATGCAGCCTTCGCTCTCATTGATCTTTAGTCTTCAGTCTGTGCTTACTAATATGCTTCCTCTTCACTGCCCTCCTGCTCATGGAAAGGCTAGTTACAGTCAATCTGAGCACATTCCTGCAACAGAATTTGGATAAGAGAACCAAGGTTTTAAGGCTACCAGTGATGGGTAGGTGGCACCAACTTACTTGTAAAAATTCAGTGTATGTGCTCTGTTTTTCCTGTTTGTCTGGAAGCACTACATCAAGGAATGAGCAAAATTGTTGCTCAGCTCCCATGCTGCAGTTCACAGTAGAAAAATCCTTAAGTTCACTCTTTTAAAAACCTAGAAGTGAAAAAGATCAATAAAAGCCCATGTTGCACAGATAAGAACTGTCAGACAGATCTTAAAAAGCTGTCATTACACAGTCACTACTGAATGGAATTCACTACTGAATTTCACTATTCACAACAGTGAATTTCTGCAAGGAACTGTAATGATGAGACACTTCAATGTTTCTCTTCAACTGATTTTGATTGCTTGTGACCTAAAGATTCGCAGCTTGGTAAGATGGGGACAGCAAAGTCATACGTACGGTAATATGTTTTAATATATGGGGAATGAGGAATGGGAAGATGCATCCGGAAAGTGGGTGATTCTGAAAAAAAAAAGGCACAGGGTCACACTGCCTAAATAAACATTTGCCCACAGTAGAAAGCTGCAGTCAACAGTGTTTGTGAGATGCCAACTCAGTAGAGTAATGACTTCTGATCCCCACTGCCAGGTTTATTTTTATCCAAGACTGTTTAACTGGAAGGAACAGTCCTTTTTCCCTGCTCCAAGGTATGTGTTTTGAACACTGTGCTATAGTTAGCTTCGCTTTCTTTCTGGCCCTCTTTCTACATAATGAAAGTTCCAAAAGAGGTGGAGAATATCTTCTTCCCAGCACACATGTTCTGCTTGGTGGTTAAAGCAGTCTCCTGCTAATCTGTGGATACAAACCTGTATCCTGTCACACTGAGACAAGCATGCAATCCAAGTCTCTCACCTCCTGTGAGTGCTCTAACTAGAACCTAATTATTCAAAAGGTGGTTACTTTTTCTGTATTATTTCAGATAAAAAGAGCAATCCTGAAAAAAAAAACCTTGCAAGTATTTATACACAAGTTTTGAATCATGCACCGATGGAGATAATTACCTGGAATCCTGACTCAAGCCATCACAGTGCTGGGAAGGGACAAGATTTCATATCCTTCCCCAGGGTTAACATTTTCTATTGCTAGCACCAGCCAGCTCCCACTCAAAATAACCTGTTTTCCAGGACAACAGTTCCAAAGTGTCCAGCCTGTATGTAGTAACATGGAAACAAGGCCCTGAAGAGTTTTTGGGATGTGTTTTAGTCAAAGGCAAATGACCAGGCTTAATACAGAAGTAAATGTGTGAATGTTAATGACCTCTGATATACAGGAGTGACTAGAATTGTTAATAGTTCTTGAAGTATTAGGAGTTTAGTTTCTGTTCTCTCCCATAAGAGAAGCATAATGTATCATGTTCCTTTTAGATCACTCATACTGTATTTTATACCAAAAAAGGAAAATATTATATAATCCCACACAATATTATAATTGCAAAAGATCTGTTAAAATGAACAAATCTTTAGCTGAATTGACTGTCTACAATAACATGGACTGCTATGAACAGAGCTTCCCATTACCCAGCTGTTTGTACAGTGGTCAAACTTGAGTTGCTATGTTTTAAATAAAGGAGTTTCTGTATCACAGAATTTCACCAGGCTGCATACATAATAACCTCTATCATCTCAAAATTCCCATACATATTTCATTTTGGTTTTGCAAAGTCATTCTTTGAAAGGCTTATTTTTGAATTTCACATTTTGTTATTTTTGACAGTGGCAATCTTGATGCATTTGTATAACTACATGTGAAAATATTGCAAGGTCAGTTTTAAAGACATATCCCATTAAATCTGTAAACTGCTGGACAAGAACCATTTTTATGAGATGCTGCAAAGTTTGCCAACAGAACTTTAATCCCTCAGCTGGGATTGTAAGGGAACTACTGAAACACCTAGTGTCTAGACTGATATCACTATCAGAAAGACAAAGATTAGAAACAGGCATAGTGGCAGAGTATACGATAGCCAGCCTCTATATAAATGATGAAGGATTATGAAATAGAACTCAGCAAATAGCAGGAGGCAATCACCCACAGCAGAATGACTAGTTTCTGGATGCATCCTTGTCCTACCCTGTAAAACTTCCACAACCAATCTGGACACACCCAGCTCCCGCCCTAAAACAGGCATTTGCATTCACACTCCTCTCTACAGATAACTTATCTAATATCCCGACATGTCAATATTCTTACTCTGCTGATCTGCTACGTAGAAATACTATACTAATGCATTTGTCCAATAGTAATTTTTCACTACAACAAACCTTGAGACATTGTTGTCTAGAGTTGTTCAGCATGCATAGAAAGATTAAATTTTTTCAGGCTGCTCACATTAGGTTAGAAGGATTCTTTCCCCAAAACGTAGAGAAGGATGCACTCCCAGTCCAGAATTAAGTTCAATTTTCTCCATCTCCAATGGTACATACAAACTGCATTGCCTATATATGCAAGTCTTTGAGATACAGGCAACATAAAATAAAACAAACTAAACCAAGTCTACTACTTGCTTCGGACAAAGAATGACGATGCTTTCTCCTGAAGCAGCTCTTCGATGATACTTTTTTTTAAGCTGTTGCCTGTGCAGAATCATAGACTTTAAATTAAATATCTTACTGCAAAATACTCTTTTCTACAGTCTGTTTCTTCTCCACCTCAACTAGAGAAAAAGAGTAACTTGAAGGTCACAAGTCCTGTGTGGTTTCATACAGGTGGTCCTACTGACAAAACAGAAAATGTCTCAACTCTCCATTCGATTCACAGTCTTAGGCACCTTAATTGTCACAAAAGGCTAAAGAGCTGGGTAAGGTTACAGGCTATATCCGTGACTGCTTCTATCATCTTTTTGGCACAAAGCAGAGCTGACAAGTTCTCTATAGCCATAAAGGCAGTATGATAAAACACCACTTCTGAAAATTGGAACAGCTAACTACTACAGCCTGAAGGTATCTTTTACCAGATTTTAGTAAAGAATATGATGTTGGTCAATATCAAGTCTGCCTTTCCAGTGGCAGAACAGCTGCCTGCACATTTAGTTTGAATAAAGTGCCACAAAACACATAGTACTACCTATCAAGACAACCTGTTAGTAATCTCAATTCTTTTAATTCATTAACTCCAAAAAAGTCCTTTGCAACTCAAACATTAAGCACGTTATTCTATTTGACATAACTAAGCTGTTACCTAATGCTAAAAACTCATCCAATTCTACAGTGCAGTTAGAGCTTCCAAGCTACTTTGAATTGTTTACCCGTGCCCAGCCTGGAAAGCACAGTAGAAACAGCGTGTAAGAGAACACCGGTGGAAGAATCTGGCTTCTCTATTTCTAGTTCAACCTACCTTACAACTTCACTGCATTCGTTTTTCACATCAACTCCATCAGCATTTACTTTTTTCATGCTGAGCTTTTACTTTTCTTGTAAGAAGTGTTTTTCGGGTGTAAAACCCGAAACCAAACATATAGCTTTTTTCTACACTCCCATTTTGTCTCACTAAATTTCAGACACATACAGCAAACAAGATTTTGAGTTCTTTAATTTACAATGTTGATCACTCTTTGAATTGGGCCTTGCCACTGGTACACAGTAAATACATTCAGCTTAACAATTCACTTAGTATGAAAAGATGCAGTTAGAACTTTAAAAACACACTATTTTACACTGCATGAAATAGAACCTTCTAAAGTAATGACACAAGGCAAGCACAGACACAGAGGAAGACAGCCTCCTTTTAGTCTACCAGTGCATTCTTGCCTACACCCCTTCAGCAGAATTTGCTTGTAACAATAGATTTTAGGTTAACACTCCTGTTGAAGTGAGATTTAGTAACATTCAGCTTAGTGTTCAGCACTTATCTTTCCAGGACAGTACAGTTCTCTGTTCCATTTATTAAGCTATGAACAGGTATGTTCTGAAGAGTTATTGAACAAAGGGTTTCAACAACACTTCAAAAATTGAAAATTTTTCTGATATAGTCTATGCTCTACTGGTGCATGCAGCTCTCAAAGTCTGGATAAACAGGCAACATGCTTCCCCTAGAAGTGGGTTGGTACAACTGCCATATCACAGGTAGTACTTATGAAGTCAGATGAACTTGCATTCTTATCCCAAGCTTTAGCCAGATGAACGTATACAACCACACATTGCACTGGTCAGGATTAGAAAAATACCGTTTTGTTATCTTGCAGGTAATGTTACAAATGATGCATTTGGAAGGATGCAAAAACCCACCCTACTTTTTTTAAACCACGAAGAGGTGGGCTGCCAAAGCTATTATGCTGTTTGCAATGACTCGCTTGATATTTTTTACAATGAAGAGGCAGGAAATGTTTATTTTTTTTCCTCCATTTAATTCCATGATCAAGAATGACTGAACATTGTATTCACTGATGTCTACCCAGTTACATAAGGTTTCCTTAAGTTATGGCTGCCAAACAAGCATGTATTCCAACCACCCACCACAAGCAACATTATTTGGCGAGTGAGGCAAATTTTAAGGTTAGATACAGTACATGTAAAAATAGAAAGTTTAAAAACCATCACAGACATTTCCATTGCCATCTCCTTTGTGAAATAAATAAGGCAGCAGATAAAAGTTTACTTAGAAGTAGCATCTTTGAGATATGCTATTAAATCTGCTCTCTCAGACTTCTTCTTAATACCCGCAAAAATCATCTTTGTTCCTGGGATGTACTTCTTTGGATTTTCCAAATACTCCATCAGAGTATCCTCACCCCAGGTGATTCCTAGCGAAAAGGAGGAAAAAAAAGAGACAGTGACCTTAAAAAATAAGCAAACAAATCCCTCCCCCCCCCAACATTTATTTTCTTGTCCTCCATGGTATTTTACTTTTTGGCAGACTTCCGGACCTATCACTGAAAGCTTGCTGTTTTTGTGCCAAGTAACTCAAAAGAGCACTTTTAAGTTTACCTTTATTCTTATTAGCATCTGTGTAAGAGAAGCCCTCAGCTTGTCCAGTCTTACGTCCAAACAGGCCATTCAGGTTGGGTCCAGTCTTGTGCTTGCCTCCCTTTTCAACTGTATGGCACTGGGAACATTTCTGGACAAAGATCTTCTTCCCCTTCTCAATATCTCCCATTTTCAGTACTAGGGTGAGAACATATACAGAGGTTAATGTCACAACATCAAGGTCAACTATTTAACAGAAGCCTTAAAAGGGTCCTGTTGGTTTACAAAACCATATACACTAGCCCATTAATCTCCAGAGTTTCTTCCCACAGATAGGGTTTCTGGGTCTGGAGTTTCTGGGTAGAAACTTCCTGGGTTTGAAGATTAGCATAGAATCACTGAACTAAGCAGAACATATTTAAGGTGATAAACATCATGCTTGAACAGCAGGAAAAGCCTTCCCCCACCCAAAGTAATTGCTTTACAGCATTTAATATCACTCTACCCTTCAGAAATTATTTCAGCAATATTTATTTCCCTTCCTGTCACATAGCTTCAATATCTCCATTAAGACAGTTCCCTAGTCATGAACAATCTTGTATAAAAAAATCATCCTCACTGATACACTCGTAAGAAGGACAAACTAACGATCTGTGTATTTTTCCATTTCTGCTCGAAAAGGAACCCAGCACACCACCTAGTAAGGAGCCAAGGGAGGCAGGCAAGCAACTTGCCCGCCTGCCTCCCGCCACGAGCCGGCATGCCTCCTCAGCACCCGCCAGC